TCAAATTTATATTTAAAAAAAAGATTACTTTATATTCGTTGTATTTAAAAAGTGAATGTAAGGTATGCACAGAGTTCAATACAACACAATATCACCCTATAGTAAAAGATAAATGACATCACACTATAGAAGAAGATGAATGATATATATTACTTCAATGAACCCCTGTCTCAACTTATATCACCAGTTTTTCTATGTATTGTATATAAAGATATGTAAATACATTATAAGGTATTCATGGTTTATTTAGATAAATAAGAATTGTATTGATATTGACACCTGTCTTATTATAGCTATCAATAGATTTACCTTTAAAAAAAATGAATCATTCAGTGCAATTTTCTACAGAAACTGAGTGGTCACGAGGGCGAGTTTTTATTGATCAGAAAACTGTTAACATAGGGGGATCAAGTTGAGAGGGAATCTAATGAAGATATGGATGCGGTCTAAATTGCAGTTGCCCACAGTTGGATGTGGTTGAAATCAGCTCGTTCACTTTCTAGCAATCAGTTAAATCGTCTATGTGAGTGTTTAGTTGAATCCAATGAGATGCTGTGCATTGTTAAACCTGGTACCCTCTAGAGCAGTTGTATCTTACATGTCTTGCAGATATAACTTGAATTTCAAGTCAGATTTGATCAAAAAAAAAAGGACAGATTATGTTAAATAAGGGGAGGTGTGGTTATTGTACAATGATTGTTCATATTCATTAAAGTAGAAAGAAACTCATAAGCCACACCAGTACCAGTATTTCTAGATCAGTGACATATTCAGGAATTTATTTGGTATTTTCATATGTTTTTTTGATTAACCTTTGTCCGCTCGTGACAAAATTTGAAATATCAGGAATATTTGTTTTCTTAATCTGTGAAAATTAATAAAACCAGTATTTCATGTTGAACTGGTGAAATATTTGTTTATATTATTTCATCTATTATAAATATAAAATGGTGGTCAGAGAATGATAATAAATAAACCTATCCTGTCCATCTGTCTGACCTGATGTCCACTTGTTGATTTAACTGTCTGCTATTTACATAGATGACCATTTGAAAAGATGGGAAAATCCTTTGGTCAGCTTTGTAGAGCCACCATTATTCTGTTTTCAACTTTTATTAGATTTGTCATTCTGATCACTTTGTTCTCCCTAGAGGAGAAAAGTGTGAAAGAATGTCAAAAAATATGAAGTATGGGTTGGTCATTCATAAACTTTTTGTCTATTGCCCCATGGATAGCAATTTGTTTCATAGCAAGTTGTGGTGGTCATAACCAAGACTTGAAAAAAAGCTTATAATGACAACATGTTGAAAATCAGACTTGTTTTTGAAAAAGTTATAACCAAATGAAGTTCTGCATTACTCTCTCTGAGATAAAATTAATAAATAAATGCTAATGTGCTGTCATGTTCAAATTTAGTCAATTCAGATTGCCTAAAATTTAATAGAATTTGCCTTGAACTGTAAGCTAAAGAATGTAGAATAAATCTAAAGCCAACTATTGAATAAGACCAGTTTAAACTTTTGTATTTTATGAGTAACATGTGAAGTTAGGAGGAAATATTTGCTGAATGTTGATGGTAAAGCTTTGATATTCTGTGTGAAGTTTAAGTTAAGCCAATTGTCAATATCTATTGTTGATAGACGGAATGAATCTTGTGACCTGATTTAACTCAGAATTGGGAGTCCGCAGACATTTTTATTTGAATGGTGGTTGGAGACAAATTGTGAATATTTTAGAATTTAAGAGTCTAGAAGTAACAGTATTATGATATTTGTTAAAGATAAAAAAAAATCAATACTGAGAATTCTTATGACTTCTTGGACATTTCTGTTACGAATGCTTAACTTTTGTCAAATATCTTGAATAGCTAATTGGAGTTCAAATTTACATTTTGATGTCATCTTTTTTTGTTTGAATGATAGAAGAAATTTATAAAAATCGTTATTGTGAACACCTTATTGGACATGTAGCAGTTAGCTAGATTAGTCAGCCAGACTGGTCAAATCCCAACATGACATCAGTTGCTGGATTACATCAAGATTGTGAGTTCTAATCTTGTCTGAAGACCTTCAATAAGTCATCTTTCTTCATGATTCCAGTTAACCCAGCTGTAAATGGGAACAGATTGTTTCTGGAAAGATCAATGCCAAACGGATTTGCCAAGGAACCAGCTGGTAGAAAAGATTCTTGTTAACCTAAGTTTTTAAGTCTTTGAGGAAATATAGATAAGTTTAAAAATTTAAAATGGAAAAATTTTTTACATGGAAATTTAGAAATATAAACACTTGTACCTGGTTGGTAATTGGTCCTCGTTTATGTATAGGTCTATGCCTAAGATAAGATAGATATCAATATTTAACCAGAAAGTCCAAGTTGAAAATCTGATAGACAAACTATGATATAAAGTAATAATAGAGAAATAAAATCACAGGTATTATTTGACAGGTGATATAATGACTGACAGGTATGATATGGTTGATTGATGGGAGCACCTGTCAAATTATCAATTATACAATCACTATAGATTATACCATTATCAATGGTTGATTTTACTTGAAGTGGCTTATTTGAATGGAAATGAATTTTAAATATGCTAATAATTTCTAAGTGCTTATTTTCTTAATTCCTTAAAAAATTGTTATTTGAATAAAATTGCTTTAATTTGCAATGAGTGTAACAAACCTGTTGTGCACACTTAATATCGTTCAAATGTTGAAAATTGGGAAAGATTATCCTAGTGCTGCTGCCACGGTGAATAAGTCTTCTAATAGCCTTGTCTTAATTAGTCAAGTCCAGAGCAGAAACCTATGAGACAAACTCAAATTATTTTTAAGATAAGCCTTAATGCAAAATAGATGGAAGCAGTTTGAAGCTAACTGTTTTTCTGACCTCTGGAAGTTATATTTAACCTTCAGAGTAGGTATCGGAGGAGTCAGCAAGTGTTTGACATGGTTGTAAGGTACTATAAGCTGTGACCTGAAATGTCCAGTGCATTAGTTGTGGCCATGATATTATCTGGCAATTTACACTCAGTTAGCTCTGAAATTAGGACTTGTTTAACTCCTGTATAAGTTGCTATAGGTTGTCAGATAAAGTATAAATATTTGCTTAACCAGTTGATAAAGCTTGATTCCAGCATCTGGAATCGTATCCAGCCATAAATCCATTTCAAAATTCAAAATCAGGCATCAGTTTCCATACAATTCAATAGCATTTACATCCAGACAGATTGTCAACATTTTGATGTCATCAGTAGTCACTATATGTTGATAATGGCATGGCCATAGCCTCTGGTATCTAGAAGAAAATAGGTCAGAAAAGTGTAAAATATATGTTTGTTCTGATAGGTAGCCCTCCAAAAAATGATGTTGGCTTTGATCAAGCTGAATTACTGCAGGTTTTTCAGGTTTTGTTATCAACCACCTGCCAAATATATCTCAGTTGATGACAGCTTGGATTGAATTCAAGATAATCAAAAACCTAATCATTTTGATAACACATACAATTATAGTACATTAAAGGTTTCTAGGATATATAAGGAATGTTGAACACCTCATGTGGTGTGGTGTGATTATCAGGAGTGTAGGAGAGTTAGCTGCTCACCAGGCAGTTGCTGTCCATATCCTGGTTGTCAGCCGTACTCAGTTGAAGAGCCTCTATTATCAATTTCGTAAATAATCAGAATGGATGCCATGTTGACAAACCTTGTCTCAACGTGTAATCAAATGGTCAGGAAGGATGAGTTTTTGCAATCTCCTACGAGACTTTCACCCATCAGAAAGATATTACATATCCAGGTTCAACCACAGCTTTATGCTATGACAGATGATGTCTATATAGCTTGTAAAGATGTCTATGTACTCTACAGGTGTGCTCGTTACTCTGCTCATTTTAGTGTCAGTGACAATGCCATATCCAACAAAATTACTCTTTCACTGGAACATCTATGAGGTTACCTTTAGGCCTACTTTTGTTGAGGGTAATCTAAAAACATCAAAGCAATGAGGTTACAAGTTGTTCATAAAGTTGAACATTAATTTGGTCATTTTGTTAACATTTCTATCTAATGATAATTAGATGTTATATGTTGTCAACTTTTCCTTTTTATCTTTAGTCTTTATTTCAATCAACAGTAAATGAATAAATTAAACCAGCAGAACATTAAGTGAGTTATTTCCTCTTTATTTGTCACCTTTCTGTTTCAGTCCAATCTATCAAGTATCTAATTAGAATGTCTTTCTCACAGGTATCAAGACAAACCATTTACACTAATCTACCCTTTGGTCTTCATGAGAAAACTAGTTAGTTTGCTAGAGGTTTGAAAATACAATAGATGATAAAGCTTTTAGTGTATTAAACAAACTTTAAAATCAAGACATACCAGAAATGAAAAGATGAATAAGATAATGGTATCCCTCTACCAACAAATTTTATGAGGTTCTTTTGCACAGTTGGTAAGAGCATTGGTTGTTTATGAAAGTTAAATAATTCATCTTCACTCATAATTCCAGTCAACCAAGCTGTTAATGGGTACGGATAATATAGGAAAGATCAATATCAAGATGTTTGGCCAAGGACCACCTTGTAGAAAGGATCTTTAACTGTGAACATAAGTATAATTGATTGGTATATCTTAGAAATATCATTATGATACTGTATTACTCTATCACACATTGTTATTCAAGATTAGAGAATACTTCATAGGATTAACAACTATTCAGTTTCATTACCCAAGAGAAATCTGAACTAATGTCACTTTCTGATATTGTTTCTGGTATGATTGTATTAACACTACCAATTATTATGTATATGACTCCTCTTACTATAAACCTTTCTTATTATAAAGATGAACAGGAAGACCAAGGTATGGTAAAGGCAGATGAACCCAGAACCAGGTCTAGTAAGGAACCATTTGACAAGATCTAGTAATGAACAGTATGGACCTGGTTTAGTAATGGAAAGGATGACCTAAGTCTAGTAATGAACAATATGACCCAGGTCTAGTAATGAACAATATGACCCAGGTCTAGTAATGAACAATTTAACCCAGCTCTGGTAATGAACAAGATGACCATAATCTGGTAAAGGATAGTCTGATAGACTTTATCTCTAGTAACGGACATGATGACTTTATCTCTAGTAACGGACATAATGACTTTATCTCTAGTAACAGACATGATGACTTTATCTCTAGTAACGGACATGATGACTTTATCTCTAGTAACGGACATGATGACTTTATCTCTAGTAACGGACATGATGACTTTATCTCTAGTAAACGGACATGATGACTTAACGGACATGATGACTTTATCTCTAGTAACGGACATGATGACTTTATCTCTAGTAACGAACATGATGACTTTATCTCTAGTAACAGACATGATGACTTTATCTCTAGTAAACGGACATGATGACTTTATCTCTAGTAACGGACATGATGACTTTATCTCTAGTAACGGACATGATGACTTTATCTCTAGTAACGGACATGATGACTTTATCTCTAGTAACGGACATAATGACTTTATCTCTAGTAACGGACATGATGACTTTATCTCTAGTAACGGACATGATGACTTTATCTCTAGTAACGGACATGATGACTTTATCTCTAGTAACGGACATGATGACTTTATCTCTAGTAACGGACATGATGACTTTATCTCTAGTAACGGACATGATGACTTTATCTCTAGTAACAGAGAAAATGACTTTATCTCTGGACTTGGACAGGATTTTCCAGCTCTGATAATGAACAGGTCTTTTAATGGACAATATGACTTAATGTCAGAACCAGTTTTCAGTTTCAAGTTAAACCTGTCTCAAAGGTCTTAACCTTGTAATTTGTTCTTGGTATTCTCTGCAGAATGTCACCCTTTTCTGACAGGGCTGAAAAATGCTAGTTTATTAAATAAGCAACCTGGTATAGAAAACAGAGAAAACAAACCCCATCATTTTGTGATTTAAATAATGCTTTTAATCTGACATTCTGTGACATTTGACACAAGACATCTTTTTTATATACTAGAGACAATTTGACCTTGTGTTCTATTAAGTAATGAGAAACTCTGTCCAGTGACAAACCAAAATTCCTGTTTAGTACACCATAACCTAGGATAAATAACCTTGGACAATACTAGTGATCAGTTAACTTCTTTTTATAAAGGCATCATGTTGTTAAACTAACATTTATCAAGGTGATTGTCTAGTAATGTAAATATTAAATATATGTTGATCACCACAATATAAACACTGTTGTGATTGTTAATTCTACTAGACCAGTTATCTCATCAACTGATTATTCTCTAATACAAACTCATCCTGAACTCTATTCTTATACCTTCTATAAACTGGCAGTGTAATTAACCGTGGTCAAGTTATTTAGTTCACACTATATATCTCCCCAAACTATTCATTGTTTTTTCTCTTCTCAACCATTAAATGTGTATATTATCACTATGTTTGTCTACCCTTCTAACATATATCAAACAATACTGCAATTTTCTGCTTGTAGGTATGTTCACATCAGATTTTCTACCTCATTGATTCTTGTCACTTAAAATTAAGCTACAAGCAGGTATTGTGAATTCCTTCACACTCTTGGTACTTTCATTTCAAAGATCGTCATTCCTGAACCATATATTTCAATTTCATTTCATCTTATATATCAATGAAAACCTGAACAAGCAAGTCTATTCCGTTAATCAAAATCTGGTCCAAAGAATTTAATTTCATCATATATATCTCATTCTAGAGAAACAAATGATCTTTTTATGGTAAAGTTTCACATCCTTTTAATTGTGACACCTGGTAAACCTTCATTTTTAAATGCTTCCTGGTTTAAACTATCATGTATTTCTGTTGTAATCGAATTCAAATAATTTCTTTTTGTCTAGTTTAACATCCTTTACATGGTATCCTGACTTGAAGTTCAGAGAGCATGTTTTAGATATAGTTAAAGTAAATTGCAAGTAAATAATTTGGGAAAGATAGGTGACAAGGGATGACATGATGTGTAATAAAGCCCCAGTTGAATATTTACCAACCATGCTCATTACAATGGTTTGAGGAGTTTGGGTGGATTTTAAACTTGGTGTTGATTACCAGTTGAACAGTAGTCCAAATTCCTCACCTTTCTTCAGAATGACATTTAAAAAATACAGTTCACAACTGTTTTATTATTGACATATTTCAAACAACTTTTTGGCCAAGATTTTTTAACACTAATCTTAACAGATAGATATGAATTTGACAACATTTTCATATAACTTAAGAAAGCTTACATGACAAGATAGTGTATTAATAACATGAATGTCAATGTTTTCACATGTAACTTACAGATTCTGTTACATTTCTGATGCTGTAGCTGGTAATGCTATATAAGCAGACTGAAGTAAAGCATACAAGGATAAATCTGCACGAGAGTAGAACAACATCTAGCTTGCTCTCTGAACTTCTGAAGAGTGTCAAAATACAAATAAAAAATTTCAATCGCAAGTTCTAGGTCTTGCAACCAAGTGTGAAAATAACCATATTAAAAACTACACAAAGGGCTGTTTTTGGTATGTGTATATTCTGATATATGCATGGTATGGCTGATATTGTTTTTGAGAACATCACAGCAAGTGTTCAAATATTTAGTAAATTACCAGGTATCTATCAAGACTGAGATAAGTTCAAATAACACAGTACAAAAAAGACTGAATCACCCTATTACAAATACATCTGCATGGTTTTAAACTGTCTATTGTAAATTGATTAAGTTTAATTAAAGTTTATTTGTTTAATTAGTGTATATTTGGTGTTGATATTTAATTATAATGACTTGCTGTACCAGGCGTGTTTAAATTCAAATTAAACGTTGAAAAGAGTTAGTAAAGTTAATCAAATATTTTATGTACATCTGAAATACTGGTGTGTTTAAATCATTATAAACTCATTGTCCTTTGATATGAATTAAATTTAAGGAAAAAATGACATGATCTCTTATTGAAATTGCCTAAAAACTTGTTACTTCATGTAATATTCTATTTGCTGGCTCACTGTTAGTTTTTGTCTGGGATAAAGTCAAGACTGTTTGTCAGGGGTGATGAGTTACTGCCCTTGACTGGAGAAATCTCAATTTTTGGATATGACTGACCTGAATGACCCAAAAATTGCAGTTGCTCATATTATATACTCTAGCATAAATTGGACCTTCTTCTGAGCAACCAAATTCTGCAAGCCAATTTCTGCTTTGAATCACCAATCAATAGAGTTCACCTAAATTTGGACAACTGCTTACTAGGTGAATATGTAGTAAATGAAAAGTTAAACGAAACTTTCTCACATAAATTCATCCACTTATCAAGAGAACAGTATAATCATCTAATATTACTGTATTCTTCTAAGGTAACCAGATACAACTGTATATTTGATATGCTTATAAAGGGGGTGAGAATAGATTAACTTTTAACAATAACTTAAGTAAATAATCTCACAGATTCTCATCTACTCTTCATTCAAAATGTCAACTTTAAAACAGATTACTTTTTTATTGGCTACATTATTTCAAAATATAATGTGAATTGATTTATGTCCCCTAAAAGTGGTTTGAAAGGAATGATCTAACACCAAACTATTTCATGACAACTTCATCATGTGGTGACTAATCTTAAATCCTGAAGGAAGTATTTATCATGCTTGACTATGGCCTGAAAGATCTGAGTGAACACAATTTCCAAAAGATCACAATCTCATACTCTTACTTGCTGTCTTTTTCTTAACCGAATATAACCATCTAATATCTCAAACTAACATCTCAAAGGAATCATTTATTGAAATCTTCCTCCAACTAATTAATTATGAATTTAAAGTGTCTTCTGTCACTCTAAATTTTTGTTAAGGTGGTGTCGTAGACAAACCTAGAATTCTGTAAGTGAAAGAGTACATTTTAGATATTGTATAAAGTTATAACAAGATATAGTCATACTGTGACAATAAAATAAACAAATAAAACACAATTTATATTTTTGTTTGTGTCTACAAGTAATAAATAAAATAAATATAAAATAAGAATAAAACTGCTGGACTGGAGTTCTTTATAGTTAATGATAGTAACTTCATAATTCAAACATATTTTATTATTCCGTATGACTACTTCTGATTAAAAGTTGCTTGTCGGAACAGAATTGAAGAATGCCCTAAATGGCCAGACTGAATCTTTCACAAATACATTTCCATTTCCATTCCATTGGTAGGAAACTGCAGTGGCTCAGTGTGTAAGATGCTGGCTCGTTTACCAAAATGTCCACGGTTCAATGCCTTTTCTTTCCATTCAACCTTTTTCTTCTGTCATTGATGCGGGTCTGATGTGTTCACTTTTCTACCATTACCTCTAAAGTCTAAAAGCTGACAAAATTTGTTAGCTTGGAATATTCCGTAATTGTTTGGCAATAAAAAGGTTCAGGGTTTCAACATAATTATGTAATGCTGTAATATTGAAAGCTCCTCCTATTTCCTTTCCTTTCCTAAAATAATATTAAATAGAAAGAATGACACATAGAGTCTACAGGAAATATTAAATCATACTAAGTATACAACATTGATATCAATGATTGCTTAATAAAGGAATAAGATATTTTGATTTTATATTTCTGTGTGCCTTTCAAACACTACTAAAGATTACTAAATCTCTGTAAAATATAGTTACAACCTATACCAACTGTACAAGTATTAGTACATGTATATCCCTTTAAGAAACTAATTCATCAAAATAACAAATAGAGCTTGATTAATGATTCTGTAAAGTGGATAACTAGTTGAGTTCTCTAAGCAGTTAAATGGTATATATACGACAATGTGTTTTGTAATCTTTAAATGACATTTAGAGGTAGGTAGAACATTCAGCAAGGACAACTATTATTGATATACTATTCCTTTATGTGAATTGAAACGTTGCAAAATTAAATTATGTTTTATGTTTTCAAATTTGTAATACAGTACACTTTTAAGAGCATACAATACATTATTGAAAAAAAGTTCAGATAGTGAAAACTTTAATATGGTGGTTTGATCCCTTTAATTTTATAGGAGTTAGTCATTGTGTTATTTTACCTGAGGGTATACCTTATTGAGAGTATAATTCAATTAAACCACCACATTCCTTACATATATCTTGTATAATGAAAGGTCTTCTTATGTCATTATTGAATGAATATCTATAATAATAATATCACTATATGTATTAACTGAATATAGGGCTGAGAGTTCTATTATGAGTTGGTGAATAGATATTTAAAGGTTTTTGATTCTATTAAATATTATTAGGGGTAAATTTTATCACCTGGTGTTTGAGCGGTTTCTATTTATAAAATGAAATATCACTTAGTAACTTAACAAAGGAAATTTCAAATAGAGAAAGCAATTCAATTCTACAAATGATCTCACTCTAAGGGCTTTGCTTCTTCACAGTTATCAGTACTTGGACTCAATGCCATCAATATATTCTCTATCAAAATCTCTGATTCAATTCAATGTATCTGGAACTTCAGAAGGAAAAAGATTATCATACAATGCTTTATATAGAAGATTGATTGAACAAATTGTTGAATTTTAATCGGGTCTGCATATATGTATAATCATCAGAGAACAGTATTGGAAGCTGGAAATGTAGACAAAATATTTAATAACATGCATTGAAATTAATATATATGTCTACTGCTCATATATTCATATCCAATTGTATTGAATTTCATATCATTTCTTAACGCCATGAATTGAAACAAGTTTACTTTCCCCAAGTAAACAAACAATTAATGATATCATAGTTGTAGATATGGTTGTGGTTTTACTTTCTGAGCAAAATTTGGTCAACAAAAGTAGTTTTACGCTTATCAAATATCAAAGAAAATTGTATGAATGAGATTAGAGTATAGTGTGGTAAGAAAAGACTGTGAAAACGAGGTCAGGGAACCTCAAGTTTAACTGATACAGTTTGTGTGGTTATCAATTGAATTCTTTAACATTTTCATGAATTGTAAATATTTTTGTAGTTCATCTTTTTATCAAGATAGGCGTTGTTTCTCGCTTTCTTTCATAGAAACACATTGAAATGTATTCTGGAGGTTGTATTCTGTCAAACTTTATGCTGCAACCATGAGAGTTGCTGATTACGAAGTTGTCTGGTAGCTCTAGCTTGACCTCTGAAACTCTAGTTCTAATTTCTGCCTTTTGTAGTCTGTTCCTCACTGATAAGAAAATTCTATAATCTTAAGTACTCAAATAGAATTAAAGTGCAACATTGTTAATAAGAGAATGTAATTTCAAAGTTTCAAGACAGGAATGCTATTATTGAAACTGATTCTATGTTATTTGATAGTAAACACCAGTATAAAAAAAGTAAAAAACAAGGTATTTAGGAGACATGGAGATGAATATTTGACAGTAATATCAGTATCATCTAAACCAAGTCTAAACATCTTATACCTATAATATTATCAGTTTTTATTCTTACAATACTCTTATCAGATACATCAAATACTGGGTTTGTTTGAAATAAAATATTTAAATTATTAGTTATATAAAATATTAGATGGATATGTTCTGATATATTGATTAAAGATAATACAACAGTAATTAATGTTTTCTGAATCATAGACATACGATGAGCAGCTTTAATAATTTCAAGGAGATCATTGTCTTTCAGATCCTTTGAATTTATGGGTTAGTTTCAATGACAAGGTTATTATGCTAAACTCTGCCAGGGGAGAGCATCATGACTAATGTAGTTAAAGAGACAGATTGTGATCATCATTTTGGAACACCTGTGTTTGAGCTTGTCAAATTGGTTTCTTTCTTATTATACTCCTAACTGATCATTTCATTTTGGGACTTTTATCTTGGGACTAGATCTTTAGTAGTGTTAACTCTGTTGTAACAAGTATAATATAGAGTATGCACTAAGAACACACAATAAAACCACAATTTTTTAAATAATTTTTTATGAAAGAAAGTAAGAAAGTGATAATTTGAGTGTTGACATTGTGTATATAATGTTATTTATGAGTTACTAGATGAAAGAGGTAGTATGTAAATAAAAGGTAACCTGTATATATAATAAAACTGTTAGAGTAAAGAGATGCACTTGGTTGCTGTCAAATAAAACATTACTTATATTTTTATATAGAATTTGTCACTTGTTGAATTTTAAAGCTACATTATATTTTACTAAAGATAGCTCTGGTAGTAACACATTACAGGCAGGAGGATAGCTCTGGTAGTAGCACAATAGGGGCAGGAAGATAGCTCTGATGGTAGCACATTAGGGGCAGAAAGATAGCTCTGGTGGTCGCACATTAGGAGCAGAAAGATAGCTCTGGTGGTAGCACATTACAGGCAGGAAGATAGCTCTGGTGGTAGCACATTACGGGCAGGAAGATAGCTCTGACGGTAGCACACTAGGGGCAGAAAGATAGCTCTGATGGTAGCACATTACGGGCAGGAAGATAGCTCTGGTGGTAGCACATTACCGGCAGGAAGATAGCTCTGGTGGTAGCACATTACGGGCAGGAAGATAGCTCTGGTGGTAGCACATTATGGGTAGGAAGATAGCTCTGGTGGTAACACATTACGGGTAGGAAGATAGCTTGTAGTTCTGCATTCTGTATTGAGATCAGCCCTTCAATCTCTCTTTTGATATGAATAAAAACTGTCTTGTTAAACTGGATAACTCAGAGAAAGTTTCTATAAGATTTATACATCCTCTATTATCAACACCTGTCGTGATATGAACTACTTCAAACAGCTAGAATAAATAGTGACCAGTGGTCAATAGTACTGGTCAGCCCATGAATTATTGGTATATTAACAGTATAAATAAGAGATAATAGAGTCTGATGATAAATTTCTATATATCTTGATACTGTGTATAATAAAACACCTGTTGTAAGGTGTTTGTTTAAACTGATATATGGCACCAATCATGGTGTCAGACATTATATTTCATTAAGATATTGGTTAGTACAAGGAATTTTGAGATGAATGAATCCAATTCTTGTTTTAAAGTGCGATGCAAACACACTCAAACTGCCATTAAAAGACAATATCTATTTGTAAAAAAAATATGGCAAGTACAAGCATGAAATATTAAACAATTCTGCATTCAGAGAGTTAAGAGCTATGCAATGCTCAAGAGTTACAAGTTATATTGACATATTTGAAGGATTTTGTTTCAAGAATATATCAAACCTAATTGTTTATTAAGAAATGTAAGATCAATCAGATTTTATCATGAATTTGTAAGAAAATTTATGATTTTATCTGGAAAGCTGTAAAAATTGACCAATACTAAACAAAGTTCACACTTTATGAGAGAGGAGTCAATATTTATATTATATTTAATATGGAGATCAGAGAGGACAGGACTATTTACAGATCTTCATAAATCTTAGAATTGATCTGTGAAGTGTTTCACTGGCAGGGATCCACAATGGCTGAGAGAATTCTTACTTGAAACTAGCGGTGGCATCAGTGGGGGTAGATAAATAGTTTGTAACCCCATTTGTACCTCCACATTCATTTCTTATTTTATAACCCTCTCAGACGTTCCATGGTAGGCTTGAGCCTATGGCACTTCCACATTTTGGATTTAATCTCAACAGTTGTGCACCTATTGATTCAGACTGCCCGCTTTTTGTACCCCTAGTATGAGACATTTGATCCATGCAAACTTTTTATGTGTACAGTCAAGAGAAATAGAATAGAATTCTCAGTACTGGAAATTTCCTTTATTACATGCATGCTATGGTTTCAGATTGTATGATACTGCTTATCTCCATTATTACTATCTTCACATTCAATATAGTAAAACCCTTTCCTTTGAACTTAAAAAAATCATCATGGGTTCATGACAATAATTTCTTAAAAGTGACATTATAGAAATCTTTTGTCAACCAACAAAAGTTTCACACATTTATTGTGTGTTTTTATGAAGTACAAAAAATCTAAAGCACAATTTATTTCATTACATCAGATAAAATTTTTTATGAAATACATTTGTTAATTAATTCACAGATATAGATGGTAGTCTCTCCATTAATTCAAAATAAATTCTTTTGTTGGGAAATAAGTTGACGTGAATGTTTTAATTTGAAATGTATTTACTCATATCAGCGTAGGAATTTATAGTACTAGAAATACGTACGGTATGTTATTTACGTTACGGCAAGGTGAATATAGATTGTGGTATATTGGTTCACACGGTGTGAAGTAGGTCCACCCAACTCTTACGTTGTCATGATGAAACAATCATGTGACATTGTTTTATTTGCTTGTTTAAAGGGATGCTGAAGTCAATTGTAAATTCTATGCATAGTAGGGCATTTTTTGGCAGCCTGATGTTCCATTCAGTACAATGATTTTTGAACATCATTAAATCCATGATACCTCTAAATAATTACTTATGAATCTCAGCTGTAGAGATTAAGATCTTAATTTTCTATATCATATCTTTTTATAAGCCCACATTATTATGTTCGAATTTGGCTCTCTTTTGATGAACTTTTTTTTAGTTATTGCCCTTGACTTATGAAAAACGCGTCAAAATTTGGTTGTGAACACAATAGAGACTAAAATTTTCATCCAATTTCAATGAAATTTGGTGTGAATATTTAAAATGATGAGATCTTGACAAGCTCGAATTTGGCTATCTTTTGATGAAGGTTTTTGAGTTATTGCCCTTGATTTATGAAAAACTTCGTTTTGTGAACACAATAGAGAGTACAGTTTTCATCCGATTTGAATGAAATTTGGTATGATCATTTATGATGATGAGATCTTAGTCAAGATTATATTTGACAATTCTTCGATAAACGGAATTTGAGTTATTGCCCATGACTTAGTAAAAACGCATCAAAATTTTTAGCGATAGAGGTAACAGTTTATGTCAGAATTTTATTAAATAATGTGTGTTCGTTTAAATCAACAAATTAGATTTTTGGTATGATTTGACACAGATGTGACTGCCCTTGATATACTGAAAATGTATCAGGAAAGTGGGTGTATCTTGCTAGGCAACCACTTGTTCTATTTTGCCAAAACCATTTGTCTATAATGAGTTTTCCTAATTATACCATAGTGAGGATTCTGAGAAAATTCCCCTCACCTTTCAAGTGTATAGAGTATAATTTGTACTGTAAGAGTGTTTAATAGAAATCATGTAAAACTTGATAGTTACTACTGACACTATTTATTTTACAAGTGTAACTATCCAATGATCTAATAATGAAGTTTCTACACCTGTGTACTCAATATACTCCCCGCATACAGTTTGTCTTCCATTAAAAAACCTATTGAATTTCTTTGACCCTTTTCATCAAATGTCAATAAACACTTGACCTTATACAATCTACAACACCTTTTTAAAGAGACGAAGTGTGGATTTTCTTTCATTAAACTGACAGTTTCTTTCATTTGAAGAAAAAAATGTGTAACATCGTTTTGTCATTTTAACTGTCTGTACTTTTATCTGCTGCTGTATCTTACCATTGGTTCTATATTTTCCTTAGATCAAAATATTTCAAGTTATTTAGTAACAGTCAAAAAACCTAAATTTGCTTTTTAGGATAAAATTCATTATGTCCAAAACATTTGCTTCTATATCTTACAATTGGTTTCAATACACTTTTCAGACTAATGTTTTGTCTACATGTTTTAATCTATGGTCAATTAAAAATTGATAATGATGGCTTTGAAATGGTTAGAATTTGATTTCAGCAGATATGAAACCTTTCAAACAACAACTCATCTGTCCTCTTTAAACAGAATAGGTTAAAGCACTAAGACTAAAACTAAGGGTGTTTTAAAAGATTCTCTAGAATATTTTTCAGGTGAGGAGTATACATGCATAATGATATTATCCAGATGCTCATAATAGTCACCTTCATTTGACGTAACTTTTATGAGTTCCACACTTTCTGTTACTGTTTTTATTGTGGTGTTAATTCAAATCTTACAATGTATATTTTTTCTGTTGCAGATCGAATCACAAGACAGTTAGATACAATAAAACAACATACATGTGAAAACAACGTCATGGAGATAAAATGTCCTGATAGCACAATTATTACTATTAAATTTGCCCAATATGGCCGCCAAGTTCCCAGCAGTCAGATGTGTCCATCTAAAACATGGAAACTAAGGAGTTATAGAAGTTTACATTCCTACAGTCATTATGGTTATATTCAAGAAGACATCAATTGTCTGGCAAAAACTAGTTTACAGGTAAGACTCTGACATTTATAGCAAATTTCATAACAAAACATACATGAATAACAGGGCTAGAGTTTACATTAATGAAACCAATTGATGTGCCTGCGTTAAACTGAAAAGCTCATCAAAGCCCAAAGATTTTAACAAACAATCTGAACATGTATTGAACTGATCAAGAACAAGTACAACTTGATAGAGAAACATGTTGAAATAATGTCAGAAGATCACACAGCAAACTTCAGAATCTACACTACCCAATTCCACTACACTGAATATTTTCAAAATGGTATATCAACAGACACAACATTCAATCAGGGTTACATTACTTTCTATCTAATTAGTTGTTAATTAGAAGTTTTAATGGATCAGTTGAAATTGGCGACCGTAAAAAGCAACAGATTTGGAATCAATTCTGAAAATATTCAAACACACAGCACCAAATTCAGAAGACTAATAATTCAATCCCTACCTTCTCAGCTGTCCTAAATAGGGATATGAGTAAGCTGTTTTGTTGGCATAGGTTACCTTGGCTGGCAAGCATCATTTCATATTCATAATTACTATAACTTCTATATGATTTCACCTCTTTCAGATAAAATGATGAATTAATTAGTTAATTGACATGTTTTTGATATGGTTGACCTCATGAGATTGATTTCTTATGATAAACAAAATATTTACTGGATGTCAACAAATTGATGTTCTTAATTTCATAATTATTAAAAAAATTAATTGTATCAATTATATATGATTATATTATTGAGGGGACAATTATCATAGAAGAAATTCTTCAAATTTTGATATACTGAATTTTTTTCTCATATTTAAGGGAAAAGACATTTTGCATATAGACATCAATTTATTTTGCTATTCCTACATAACAATAAGAGGTATTTCTGTAAAAGTTCTCAATTACGGTTCCTTAAATATCTAAGAAGGGTTACATTATTGCACCATAATATTACACAAATAAACCTGTTGTTTTAACTTGCCCATGTGTGTAGTCAGTTGCATAGTAGAGATTCTCCATCTCAAAATTATGTATGTACACATCTTGACATCATTTAACCATAGTATTATATACCAACAATAGTATATCTGTACAATTACCTAAAAGTATG